TGGACAAAGTTTGAAATTGGGTTAAAGTTAAAATTGTTTCACCAATTACCCGTTTCAGATGGTATTTTGCACTTTTAACGGCACTTTCCCATAAGCCACCTTGATGAGGTGCAGAGGGGGGGTTGAAATGGAAGTTAATTCCTTTGGGGGTGGTGAAATGAACAATTTTGTCCTGCGAATCAGGTGTAAGGATGGTTTCACGGATTACCTTGCGTAATTCCGAGTTTGCACCAACAAAGTTGGTTCCGCAGTCAGAATACAGATCGGAACAGAGTCCGCGTCTCGACACAAAACGTGTGAGAGCGGCAATGAAGCCTGAGGTGGTAAGATCGGTGACTACCTCTATATGAATAGCTTTGGTAGCCATGCAGATAAAAATACACAAATAGACCTTAATCTGTCTAAGAGCTTTGAGACTGCAAACGCGAACACTAAATGGTCCGGCGTAATCTACGCCTGTAGATGAGAATGGACGAGTAGGATTGACCCGATGAGCAGGTAAATCACCCATTAGAGGGATTTTGTTTCGTGGTTTATTTTTAAAGCACACAAGACACTTAAATATGCGCGAGCGGATAACGCTCCTGGCCGATAGAATCCACACTTTTCGGGCGAGTAGTGATTGAGTTAGTTGCGGACCTGAGTGCAAGTGTACCTGGTGGTAAAAGTCTATAAGCAAATTCACTACAGTATGAGACTTGGGTAGAACAATAGGGTGACGTATGTCATGAGCAAGCGAACAATGTGACAATCGGCCACCGACGCGTATGAGACCATTAGGGTCGAGGAAGGGGGTGAGTTTCTGTAATTGTGCAGAACATATTGAGCCTTTGTTCAATAATTTAATATCCGCACTGAAATGGAGTTTTTGCACTAGTTTAAAAATTGTCACTTCCGCTAGATTTAATTCACTGAGTTTTAAGTGTCCAGAGAGTTTGTTTTTAGACCTGGAATAGTTTATGAATCGTAGTACATAAGCTAGCACACGGGTTAGTTTCAACCAAGATGAATATTTAGACAATAAGTCCCATTCCGAAGGGGCGACTGTTGCACTAAGTACACTAAGAGGAGTTTCTTTAATTTCGTCCGTGGGAGTGAGTTCAGACGGCGAAAAACATGAGGGGGGCCAGTTGGCCGCAGGGAGCTGTAACCATGGTGGGCCAGTCCACCATAAGGGATGGTCAATGAGAGATGAGGCTAGAATTCCTCGTGAGGCACAATCAGCGGGGTTTTCCGTCCCTTTTATGTGCCGCCACTGATAACTGGGAATGATTTCTTGCACTTGGGCTACACGATTAGCCACAAAGGTCTTTAGTCTGTATGGAGGGGTTTGTAGCCAAGTAAGAACTACAGATGAGTCACTCCACAATACAGTGGTATTCATAGTAAGAGAGTTAAATTGTTTTTCACAATAATGCACTAGTTTTGATAAGAGGTGAGCTGCACACAATTCCAAGCGGGGTAAAGTTACCTTTTTTAACGGGGCAACACGAGTCTTAGACAATATTTGTTTCACAATGACTGTTTTGTCACTAGATTCACACCGGAAATACACTACCGCGGCATAACCGCATTCCGATGCATCACAGAAACCGTGAAGCTCGATATCAGAGGAGTGAGCGAGCGGAAATGCTCGGGGGATCTTAATTTGACCGAGGTGGTCTTTAGTGTTACTAGTGAACACATGCCACTTATGTGCGAGATCAGAAGGGAGAGGGTCGTCCCAATCAAGACCTTGAGTCCATAGTAATTGCATGAAGCATTTTGCTACCATGATTAATGGGGACAAAAATCCACAGGGGTCATATAGTTTGGCAATAAAGCTGAGCACGGAGCGCTTAGTCAGCTTTTCAGACGGGGGGTTGAAAGCGTAACAGAAACAGTCTTCTTCAGGAGACCAATGGAGACCTAGGATGGAGTACTGGGGAAGCTGAGCGTCTTGCAGGAAACTTGGAGTCTCTAGATGTTCCGAAGGAAATTTTTCTAGAAGAGCAGAGGAGTTGGAGGCCCACTTGCGAAGTTCAAAGCCACCACGATGTAGAAGTTGGATAAGTTGGTCCTGTAGTTCAAGAGCAGCCTCAACGGAGTCAGCACCCGTGATAATGTCGTCCACGTAGGTGTGATGACGTAGAGAGTGAGAAGCCTGAGGGAAGGCATCACCTTCGTCTTCCGCTAACTGCATTAAAGTTTTAATAGCAAGGTAGGGGGAGCTGTTCATGCCGTAGGTGACGGTAGTAAGTTGAAACGTAGAGATTTCCTTTGAAGGGTCGTCACGCCACATAATCAGTTGAAACTTTTGATCGTCAGGGTGCACTTGTATTTGGCGGTACATTTGCCGAATGTCACATGAAAACACAATTTTATGAGAGCGGAAGTTCAAAATTACGTCACAAATGTCAGTTTGTAATTTACGTCCTGTCAAAAGAATATCGTTTAAGGAGTGACCGGAACTGGTTTTGCTACTGGCGTCAAACACTGTCCTTAAATTGGTCGTGCTAGAGTCCTTCAGTACCCCATGATGAGGTAGGAAGTAGTGTGGGTGTATGTCTTCAACAAAATCTAGTTTTGTCATATGGCCGAGAGTTTGATATTCAGACATGAACGTCTTATACAAGTGTGAAAAATGGGGTTGAGCTTTAAATTTCTGCTCAATAGACAACAAGCGCTTTTCAGCAATGGGCCTAGATTGGCCTAGAATGGAGGGGTCCGTCTTGAACGGAAGTCGCACAACATAACGACCTGATTGATCACGAGAGTGTGATTTTTTATAGTATTCATCACAAAGAAGCTCTTCCTGTGACTTAACCTGGAAGTGAGGGGGTTCCTCCTGTTGCCAGAAACGTTGAAGGGAAGAGTGTAGTGAATTATCACTAACAGAGAGAAGAGAGATCGCAAAACCTGACACGGGTTCCGAGTTAGTTGCACAGGGAGCTTTACCCATCAGAATAAAGCCAAGATGAGTACCTATCACATGAGGCATGTGCGTGCCGAGGGAGTAACTTTCATGAGTCCAGAGGAGGGGTAGCAGAGAACTACCTATAAGCACGTCAATGCCACCAGGCAAGTGAAAAGTAGGATCAGCTAGAACATAGGGCTTGATTTTTGTTAGCACTTCCGGTGATATAGGGGAGCGAGGTAAGTCGACGGAAATCTTATCAAGAATATGGAATTGATGGTCAGTGGCTATTACTCGACCTGAGAGAGTTTCAAGATTCAAGTAAGTTGACCCTTTAGTACAGGAAGCCATTTGAGAAAGACCAGATATTTTGAGTTGAGAAGACTGGCGTTTTATATTCAGGAGATTCGCAGCGCGTTCTGAGAGCAGATCACACATACTGCCAGTATCTAGTAGAGCACGAAACACATGAGAGATACCCTGAGGGGAAGTCAACTTGACCAAGGCGGTGCCGAGTAATACAGTATAATTACCCGAAGTCGTACATGAGTTATTTTGGGCAGAATAATTGCTTACATCCGCGACAGTGGCGGAGATAGAGGCTTGTGAATTAACATCACCAGTCTGAGTGTGAGATGGACCTGAAGTGGTCGGGGAAGTTCTTTGACCTTGAGGTCGAAAAGACATCTGAGAGGTTTGATTATTATCACCAAGGTGTAAGAGAGAGTGGTGTCGCTGTTTACATGTGCGACAAGTGAACTGAGAGCGGCATTCTTTGGAGCTATGTTCACCCAAGCAAGAAAAACAACGATTATGTTTTTTAACAATGGCGTGTCGCTCTCGAGGAGATTTATTTTGAAATACGTCACAAGTGTAAACTTTGTGATCATTTTTGTTACAAACAAAACATTTGTTATAGACATGACTATTTTTAGTCTGAGAGCTATGAGAGGGGGGAGCATTAGATCTCGAAGTAGCTAACATGGCTAGGCCTACGTCAGACCGGAAATGCACCTTTTTTGGTATGGTTTTGTGAGGTGAAGGTTGAACGCTTCTGTGGGCCGATGACATGTTATGTATGTTAGCATCTTCTGTCTGCGAACATTCTTGGTTAAGAAATTTTATTATTTCACCAATTTCTGGTAATGAATGAGTAACTGGATCTTCGGTTTGACTGGAACGGAACGATTCAAGTTTTTTACGTAGTTCCTGGTCCATTTTACGCAAAAGGAGTGCGGACAATAGGGGGTTGTTGTCACTAACGTCACAATTTAATGCCTTAAGAGCTTGTGTGTGTTCCGTAAACAGGTTTACAAATTGGCGCAAACCTTTGAGTGAAGTTGCCGTAATGTTTGGCAGGTCCAACAATTGGTTAAGATGCAATGATTGCAATCTTCGATTGTTGTGATATCTGTCACGTAACAATTCATAGGCGACTAGATAATTAGGAGCGGTGAGATTTAAACTCCTTATTAAATTGAGAGGCTCTCCATTTAAGACAGAGAGTAAGTACTGGAATTTCATAACAGAGGATAATGAAGCATTACGGTGGATTGCAGTGTCAAAAAGATTGATAAAACTTGTCCACGTTAATGGATCGCCAGAGAATTTTTGTAAGTCCAGTTTAGGTAATCGTACTTGTGAGCTTGGATGAGTTTCTGAAACAGAAAACGATTCACTGAACGCGGAAGGGGTTTTTGGTGGTTCTGAGGGAACCAGAGTTTCAATCGTAGCTTGAATGTGAGAGAACATGTCTTCAATAGCATCTTGATCATTGGAAAGAGTCTTATCATCGATCCCTTCATCTTCCAGAACGAAGGCACGTTGAAGGTTATTTTCAAATTCACTGCGTTTCTTTTTTATTTCCAACGCGTAAGCGGATAATTTCTTAAGTTGTAATGGTGTTAGAGGGTCGATTTGAGTTGATAATTCATCTACTGTAGCCTTAAGTTTTTCAAAACGTGATTTAATCAGCGCCGTAGAACGGGTGTAGATTGCGGACTTAAAATCAGATGCTTTAGGAGGCATTGTGAAGTGTTCACTTGAAAGTATTCACACGAAAATGGAAGTTATGGGTACACAAAAGGCTTGTAGCTAGGCCTATGAATGGTATTAGCTTAACAATGTAGTAATTAATTGTCCGCTGAATAATATAGAGATAAAATATTATAAATATCTAAAACATATATCCACCTACTTTGTAGCTTAATTGAGGCAAATAGTGAAAAACACTAAGTTATCAACACGTTAAATAGCAATAAAATATTTTTAAATGAGTGTGGCAGGTTTAATTTGATTTTCAAACTATAAATCAACAATTGAGCTTAGTTGAAAGTATTCAAGTACGGTAATAATAATGCACAATAAAACAAGAGATATGATAGAACAAATGAATGAGTCACATGAAAGTTCACCGTTATTTACAAAAATAATAAATGGATCTAAATAAGTTTAATGAGAGTAGGCCTCATTAATGAAACAGTGTAGAATAATCCTTAGTAAACAAGAATTGCAACATAAAGAGTAAGTTATTACCCTAATAAATGAGAAAGGAACATAAAATTATAACCATCAATGAAATATGAATCACAATACAAATACGCTAGCTAACAGTTTTGTTTATATGTACAACACTAGTAATAAGAACCAGTAAAAACGGTTATTTTGAACTATTTATTAAAATGTTAATTGACAAGATAAAATTACCTTAAATATAATATCGCACGTTTGTCAACCAAAATTACAGAGATGAACTAATTTAACTTTACTTCATTTAAAATCAAAATTCAGAAAGCATAAACAATGTTAAATAACAATGACAAATTATTGTTTATTTAGTACGATATTCAAAAGAGCAATATTGATTCAAAGAATAATAGTAAATACCTAATAATAACCTAATAGTTGGTTATTAATAATATCAATCAACCTTATTACACAATACACCTTAAATGAGAAAATGTAAACAACAACAAACGCTGTACAGTGAGTGTGAGATATGCGTCTGCTACTAGTGTCGGCCGTCTGCACGCGACTAAATCCCGCAACTAAAACTAAATCCCGTTTTCGGGATAAAAAAGCCAAGTAGGGAAAAATTGTCTACTACTAGAGAGAACAGCAAATTGTACATGATTGTGACCTGCGCAGACGCGCGAGTGGAGAGAGATTGCTAAACCACGCCCACGAACGGAACGAACGCGAGCCGATATTTTACCAATATGGCGAAAATTGAAAATTGCAGATCGCTAAAAATATGGTTGATGATGAAAATTGGCTGAAATTAATTACCACAGGACTTTAGACAATGAATCCGGCTCGAAGGACCAAATGTTGGGGGCGTAATGGGTAAAAATGAAAATAATTAATAACTCGAAGGACCAGAACTAATTAATAGTTCAAGAGAAAAATAATTAAATTAGAGAAAATGGCGAATCTGCAATTTGAAGGGCACTGAGGTCCCGAGATGGAATAAAATGTCTTGTGAGGGGCAAATGAGATTAGTTTTAGAGTCTAATTAAAACACACACAAAACTTTAAGGTTGTACCTTGAGTCCAATTGTCCAAAGGTGGAGAGTATGGCAGCGGCGTCGTCTATGGTGGAGCGATGGCGGATGGCGGAGTCCTTAGACCGAGTGCTTCTGTTTTGTAGAATTTTGGAGTACGCAACGCACCCAAGTTCATAATCACAAAGAGCTCACTAATACGCGGAAGTCACGGTGAAAACGTACGGAAAGTCTAGAAGTAATACACGGACGCGCACACACTGTCTTGAGGTTTGAAGAGTCTGAAAGCACTAGATCACAATTTAAGTAATTTAATCACAAACAAAAGGGGGAAATTAAAATGTATATATAGTTAAATGTACTATAGAGGAGAGGGAGGCCAGATATAATTAATCTATAGCCTAAAAATACGTTTAAGAGAGGTAAAATGGGCAATTAATGTCCCGAGATACGAGAAACGGAATACACCGTGAGTTATGGACGCCGACCGTGGACAGACAGACGCCGATCACCGATTTCACTTTGAAAAATGCAATTGCGGTTTAGAGGGGTCTAGGAATTCGATGGCCAATAGGAAATGCGATTGAAGCAAACACGGCGTCAGGTGATTCATGGGTATGTAGTACAGGAAAATAGGCCTTACTGTGGCGGGAAATTCGAGCAGGCTTAGCAATCTCATTTGAATATTGAAAGCGGGAGTCTATTTACAATAAATTGGTACTGAGACTAAATAATATTACAATAAATGTGGTGATTTATATACACATTAGCATGATTAATTAACCAGTGACTTAATTAACATAATGATTAATTTCTAAATACTCTAAAAATATGAATACCGAACACTATCAATTGATGATGCAATCTAACAAAAGCTAAAAAAATAAGTATGCAATATTAACAAATTAGCTCTTTGGTATAAGGCCACACTTAACCTAACTATTGACATAGCTTTATATTACAGTTCAAATAAACTAACAGAACTGTCCTGTTGTCAGCTCAAATCATAAATCAAATGTCTCCAAACGATTCACGTTCCTACACAACTTAATTCATTCTATTATTTCAAAACCAAACACTAATTCTATCCACAGAATTGAGAATAAAATGTAAAACCTTTTGACTGGAAATCACTTTTATCCAAAACTTTTCTCTTAGAAATCTTTACGTAAGAGTTAAACCCATAGACAGTGTCAAACACTTTCTCTAGTCCTCTTGGCCGACTGAACACTTGATTTGCCAAAGGTGTTTTATTTAATCGCTCGGAACACCTCCAGCACAACTCCTAATTTGCAAGGTCTAACCACAAGTCATCAACCCAGCTTGCCTATCCTGCAAACTGCACAGTTTAAACTACAGTCCATTGCAACTAGTTGGTGATGTTTCAGGGGTGTTGCTGTATGGCCCGCCAGGATGTGCCAAAACCAGTTTAGTGCGAGCTGTTGCTTCCGCTACCAACACAACCTTCCTTGCAGTGTCGGCTGCTGAAATTTACTCACCCTATGTTGGCGATGCTGAGAGAACTGTCTCAGAGTTGTTCCATAGAGCTCGTATTGGCGCACCTGCTATACTGTTCATCGACGAAATCGGTTAGCTTAAATCTCAATTGTTTTACCTCTGATCTGAATATTTCATGACCTCACAGATTGGAACAAATTTGTCAAATGATAATTTTTGCTGATGGATTTACAAATTAAATAAAATACACTTTCAAGTAAAATTAGTCAAATAGAATTGCAGTATCTGACCTTTGTGAAGATATCTGCAGAATCGTATATGTAATGCTTTTTTTTCAATATTATATTTACAATATAATCTAAAAATTAATATAGTTAAATTATATTTTTTTACATTAATCATTAATCAATAATTGACACTACACTAGAGTTCCACTATTCTAAACCAACTGAAACCTATTTGGATTAGCGGTAATTCTTTGCTCACAATTTCATTGTTTGCTCTTATGGTTAAAAAATATATATCTAATTATTAACTTACCCCAAATTATAATTTTTTTTTGTAACACAATGTAACTGTTATTCTTAAGGATTAATTTTTTGGTGCCAGAGAAGTCAGTTTACATAAACTTCTGTATTTTAGATGCCTTGGTTGGTTGCCGCGGGAATCGAGAAAGAGGCTCACAAGAAAGGATACTTACCGCTTTTCTGACAGAAATGGATGGGATCGGTGTTAGATTGGACAGTGGGACAACTCAAGTAAGTGGTTAATTGTACACCACAGACTGCTTGGTGCAACACACATCCATAATTGATAAGGTTTAAATCTACATGATGAAATGACTATCACAATTATCCTCACAACGTAAATACTGTAGGACATAAATACAGTAGCGTAACAGAAGGGCCCGCAATGCATGGGGGCCCAGGATCCGAGGGGGCCTGCGAACCAGTGAGCGGGAAACGGCAACGGAAACCGGCGAGTGGTAAGGCCCGCAAGACGAGTGGAGCCAGAAAATTTGAGTTCATTCTTATTGAAATTAGTTATTAATCATTTATTAATTTTATAAAAAAGTAATAACATTAATGTTATTAATATGTTTATCATCGTTTAACTTTCATCTTCAGATCATATACTAGTGATGTTATTAACAACTCTCAGGTTCTATTCTGTAATTTCCCTGTTTTACGATAGGCTGGAGTGATTGTAGTGGCAGCAACAAACAGGCCCGACGTGTTGGATCCAGCACTAACTCGACCTGGGCGATTTGATAGAATCGTCTACGTTGGCCCCCCTGATGTCAACCAGCGGTTGGAAATCTTACAAATACTCACAAAAAGGTAAAATATAATGCTACTTGTTCATATGTTTCTTTTTCAGTTTGTGAAAATAGAAAAACATCACTGGTTCGTGAATTTATTTCTTAGGCTGTATAAAATTCAAAATTCTCTTTCTGTTGGTTGTGTTGCTAGCCTAGTGGTTAGCATCCCGGACTTCGGTGCAGGAGGGACGGGTTCAATCCCCTGCACATCCACTAAACATTTGCTCTCTTAACTCTCTTGTAAAATGCCACTGGCGTAAAAAAAAGAATGTTTGCAATACACTTACTTGACTCTACAATATTTATGAAAATTTTGAACCATTAAAAACAACGTACAAAATTACTAGTAAAGGTAAAAATCAAATGCAACACATTTTTAAAGATCAAAAATATCTGTTCATCGTTTATGATTTAAATGAAAATGTTACAGTAGTCATTATAAGGGATGGGCAAGATTGGACTTTCAGTTTGGGATTGGACAGGATTTTTACATTCTTCTTCACTTTGGCCAAATCATGTACATCTCCCGCTATAGCAAAGAGATCATTGTCTCCTGCAAAAGCGGTGTAGTCTGGTCTGGAACATCTCCTGCAAGTGCAGAGCATCATCATTGTCACTCGTAATCACAGCGAAAATACTGACTGGAACTAACCCCACCCTGAGAAAATCCCTAATCAAATTAAAATCAAAAAGATGTTTTTCCTAAAAATTTACTAAAATAAGTTCTTTCTTTTTTGTTTGACTGTATTTCTATATAGGCCCTTGCATATTTCCTAGGAATGAAAAATATGTGAATTGGTCCCTAAACGTTCTAATGACCAGTTGATTGTTCCATTTTCTTTGTGGATAAATATTGCCAACAACACCGATTGATAAAACCATCAAACTGAGTAAACTTTCTGTTGCGGGACTGAATGAGTACTGACATTAAAATTTAAACTTACACATTGTTTACTTACACATTTTTTACACTACATTGTATCAACATGCATACTAATTGAATAAATCTGTATTTACAGAACGCCCCTTGCAAATGATGTTGATTTGTCGGTTATGGCTGAAAAAACAGACTTATTCTCTGGAGCAGATCTTGCTCAGTTATGTAAGGAGGTAAGTCATTTGAATTTTTAGTGAATTGGAATAGCTGTTGAGTTAAATGTGTTTTAGTAGAAGCACCATTCCCAATTAAGTTTTATATTGTACTAGTCGCTATACCCATCGGGAAGGGAACACAGAGCGGGGAAGATTGGTTCTCATTCTCAAGTCTGCCTTATGAAATAGTTAATAGTTACACATCCGTAATCAATTTTACAAACAAAATTCAATTGCTCCGCTTTTAGATAAAAGTTTTTGTCATTTTTTTTAAATTCAGTTAAATAGTGAACATTTACTATGCTTCCTATTGTGATTTTAGTGGCGCTGATGCACGTATGTAAACGTGCTTTTCAACAATTTAATTGTATTTACAGGTTTAGTGTATTTTGTTGAACAACAACTATATTTAAATTTAGAAGATGATAATCTATATACAGAATTATTCGTTGTTTGTCATATGTTTGTTTGTTAATTAAGTGGGTTCAACCAAGGTCACACTAAAAAAACAGGCCGTAATGCTCGTCAAGCATGACGTCACGATAGGAGACGGCAATGACGTAGATGTAATGTTTACCGTTTGTGATCAGCTGCTTGTTTTAATCTTTCCTTGGAAAATAAATAAATAAATACCTACGTCATTGCCGTCTTCTATCGTGGCGCCATGCTTGACGAGCATTACGGCCTGGTTTTTAGTGTGGCCTTGGTTCAACCCAGCAGCCTGAAGTTCAATTCAAGATGGATTATATGGATTGAAATATAGTTTGAGATTAAACATGCCTCTATTCTACAAGCTCTCAACTTTCTAAAACTAATTAGTTTTCAATGATTGTGTGCTTTTTGTGCTCTTAACATATCAAAGTTTGCAATGGATAGGGAAAAATTAATTTTTAGCTATTATTTATAAGTTAAAATAACATGTAAAAAAGTATAATTTACAGATTTTCAAAACAATTTTTCAAATACTTCAAGAATTCATTACAAAGTTTCAGTTGATCTAGTGCATAGTTTGGATCTTTGTGAATATTTTACAAATAATTTCAACTCAATAAACACTTGAATTACGCAACGAGGTTATTTTTTGTAGGTCGATGTTCACCCGGTAACCAGCTGGCAAGTGGAACCCTCTTAAGACACAAATTTCATGTACAAACAACATATACAAACAGCTGATATAATTCAAATTCCATAATCCATGGCATTTACATTTACACATTTAACATTGATTAAATCCACAAAAGTAACGTGTGTAGAACCATTGAAAATTAAAAAATGTAAATGTTGATTCCTTTTTTTATAATTGTTAATCCCTTCAGGCAGGGCTGGAGGCTTTAACAATTGACGGGATGTCAGTGACAGAAGTCAAGCAGAAACATTGGATGTCAGCTCTTGAGAGTATGAGTCCGTCACTATCAAGGGATCAGGTAGATCAATACAGATGTGTGATGGCAGGTGGCAACTGATCAGGTGAGAAAGAACTGTTTACTTTCGACAATCATAATCATTTTCTATAGTTACTGTTTGGACATCAACGCATACCTACTAACATGGAGTTTTCATAAGCCATCAAATGTCAACTGCAGCTTGATACTAGCCGTCCTAAATTTTTACGCTTCTTTACTTTTTACAACTAATTATAGTAATTTTGTCAATGCCAAAAACGGCCCATGGTCAGAACGGCCAAATGGTCAAATGATCAAAGCTTTAGATAGATCACAAAGACAAAACACACCTGACCCGCCCAACATCCACGCAATGTCATCTATAACATTTGCCAAGGTATGACTGATACTGTGATTTTTCTTCTGAAAAAAGATTATTGCGCTCCGGTCAAAGAATGTAAAAGTTGTGAACTTTCAACTTTCTCAAAAATGTTTAGAAAGGTGGTAGGTAATATAGACAAAGACACAGGAGAATAGTTGTGTCTATATAGATTTCCTGACAATGTTTACAAACAGTTAGTGATAGTGGTGATTGCCTGATTTTGTATTATTCTTTCAGTTGGGCACAGTTTCTGCCAACTTGTCTCCCCAGTTGAACTTCGGAACATTAGTGATGGAAATCCAACCATACAGAAACATATCCAAGAGAGGCACTGAAAGAAAGATGGAAAAGTTTTATGATATTATTTATATTATTACCTAAACCCATTATAAAGCAGAAAATAGTATTCAATAAAGGCAATGTTTGAGATCTAGTGATAAACAAAATAATTCCCCATATTGTTATGTTTTTGTATTTCTTAAGTTAAGTGAAAAATATAGTATATGTATTCTTATCAATTTTTATTGACCACCTAAAAACTGGCATGTAGGCCTACAACATTTTACCCCTCAAGCCTCTAAGACTATATTCCTACTGTTCGATATCAAAACCAAACCCTCACTCACAACTATCCATGCCAGTAACCTCAATAACTAAAAGTTTTGCTTTATTTTCTTCAACCTTAGGGGTAGACTTAGAACTATTATGCTTATTGGGTTTACCCTCCAATGCCAATAGTCAGACACAAAAGTGTCAGTTGTGTTTTGATATTTATTTTAATCAGTTAGTAGGCTACACATTTTACTCTCTCCCCCTTTATTTCTTACATAATATATGGAGAAAGTACTGTTTTTCCCCTTTTGAAAGTATTGTGTTTGTTCCCCTAAACCCAAAATAGTATATTTTGTATCAAGGCCGGAAATGAGGTTTTGCTGAGTTTTTTTTAAACAATCGAGAGCAGCAAAATCCTTTCAGCCCGTGGTACAAACAATATTTTTCATCATATTGAATTTTAGCCTCCTGATCTAATTTAAATACTTAAGAACTAGTATAAATACCTGCAGTTATGCAATCAAATGTGTTGCTAAATTGTAACCGGTTTCGACTCACATAGGAGTCATTGTCGGTCCAGTACAGACGTCTTCCGCTTCATTTGAAGGTTGTTAATTCATAATTAATAAATACATTGCACATGTACATGAACATTTAGGGTCAAAAATAAGGGTAGAGAGAGAGAGAGAGAGAGATACTTTATTAAGCAATCGTCAAGATTGAAAATGGCGTCATAAACAATAGGTCAGTAAGTATTTACAAATACAAAAATGTTCACAAAATCGAATGAGTCCATGTTTTTACACTTGAAAATTGGGCCAGTCCAAAAATTCTGCTACAGAAAAAAATGGTCGTTCAATCAGCCACTTGTGCAACGTCCTCTTGAAAGAACCAAGGTGAGACCTCTTCACTTCCATTGGTAGGATATTGTACAGCTTGGCTCCGGCGTATGTGGGCTTTCGCTGAAACCTCGTTGTGCGGTGTACTGTCAGGTTGAAGTCCTGGGCGTTCCTCGTGCTGTATGCGTGAAGGCTTTGGTTTCTCTTCAAATTTGCGGAGTTTGCAAGGTTGATCACTTCCAGAAGGTAAATGTTGACCACAGTTAAGATGTTAAGGTCGATGAAAGCTCTTCTACAGTTGTCTCTTTCATCAAGTCCCACCAGAGTACGAATTGCCTTATTCTGAAGTACGAGCACCCGCTTCAAATTCACCTGACTTGCAGCGCCCCAAAGAACAATGCCATAACGTAAATGGCTCTCAAAAAGAGAACTGTATGCAATTCCGACAGCGTCCATGGTGCTAACACTCTTCACTCTTCTGAGGGCGAAGATGGCAGTGTTGAGCCTCCTGCAGAGCTCGTCAAGATGGTCTGACCATGACAGCGAGCTGTCAAGTACCACACCTAAATACTTCGTGGCCTCAACACTTTCAATGTCAGGGAAAACGGACACCTCCTCCTTCCTATGACCAAAATTGAGCTGATTTGTCTTCTTTACATTGAATACGAGATCGTTCATATTACAGTACTCTACTGCCATATTCATAGCAATGTAAGATCGGACTTCCAGGTCATCTCTGTTTTTGCATGACATAAGGAGTACCGTATCATCGGCATACATTATTGACTTGCAAAAAGGCTTCGTGTAAGCGGGAAAATCTGCTGTGAAGAGGACGAAAAGCAGAGGGCCCAGGACTGATCCCTGAGGGACCCCTCGACTTACGGGCAGTCTGTCCGATCTGATGGCGTTTTGGGTTCCATTGATGTTTTGTTTTATCTCAACCACTTGTTCCCTCCCGACTAAGTAGCTCTGAAGCCACCTCAACGCAGCACCTCTGAATCCCAGATTATTGAGTTTTTTTAATATCAATTCGTGGCCAAGGCAGTCAAAGGCCTTACTTAAGTCTAGGAAAATGCCCATGACATTATCACCTGCTTCGAGTTTATCTATTATGTGCTCAAAAAGAGACACAAGAGCTGTAGAAGTGGATTTGTTCCAGGTAAATCCATGTTGCTCCTCGAGGACGATGTTGTTTCTCTCCAGATGCTTGACAATTCGCTGGAAGACAATTTTTTCCATCAGCTTCGAGAAAGTTGAGACCATTGAGATGGGTCTGTAGTTTCCCATTTCCGTCCTGCTTCCTGACTTGTAAAGGGGAATGACCTTGGAAAGCTTCATTTTGCTAGGTACATGTCCTTCCTGAAAACTTAAATTGATAATATGTAGCATAGGTCCTACAAGTTCATCCTGGCACCGCTTCAGCATCAGCGAGGACACCTCGTCAAAGCCCGACGATGTTTTATTCTTCAATCCACCTATGACGCGGAGGAGCTCATCCTTAGAAGTAGGAGTGAACTCAGTCATGTGATGGGCAATCTCCCAATCACATGACTGCACATGGTTCGTCTTTTGGTTCTTAATTTTCTCAAGTGTGACTTCAGCAATCGAGGTAAAGTAGTTATTAAATTCATTACATATGTTCACTGGGTCACTCATTACTACTCCATCTAATTTAAGCTTGACCGAGTTAGAGGGTTCTTTCTTCTGTTTTCTCTCGCTGTTGATGACTCTCCACACAGCCCTACTTTTGTTGCTTGAATCTGCTATGTAGGTGGCGTTTGCTTCTTTTCTCAGTGACCTAAGTTTCATATCATACGATCTCTTCAGTTCGTTAGCTGTATCCCTGTCTTCACTTCTTCCAGTCGAATAAACGTGTCAAGGGCATCTAGAAACTGTGCCTTCAGCTGGCCAGCTTCTACATCAAAAACTTGCTTGATGGGATTATAAGGCCTAACCCGAGCTTTCATCAGAGGACAGGATGAATTCAGAGAAAGAGTCAAATTCGTAATGAAACTGTTGTATGCCTCCTCAGAGTTATCACGCTCGTACACTGTCTCCCAACCTTGCGCTGAAAGATGGCCCTTCAGATCCCTAATGCTATTGTTGTTTATTTGTCTGCGAGTTGTCGTGATGGTAGCGTTCATCCTTGATTTGGTCGATATCCTGAACCATTGTCCAGTGTGATCTGAAATACCAGTTGAGGCAACCTGGAAATCCACCTCATTTAAGCTATCAGAAGAAATACAAAACATGTCAATCGACGATGAGGTCTCCTTGGTGACACGGGTAGGTGGAAGATTTAATCTTGAAATGTTGTAAGACATCAACATTTCTTCAAGTTGGGTTCTTTCAGTTGACGGTTTAAGGGAATCAACATTGAAATCTCCCACTATCACAATAGTATTTTTGGGTGAAACCCAACCATCCAACACTGCTGATACTGTCTCCAGAGCCGCAGCGAAGGAGTCTTTGTCTTTTCTCGGAGGTCGATAGATTCCTAATATGTATAAATTTGATCTCTTGTCAGTAGTGACAGAGACGGCCGTTATTTCACATACAAAAGGGGTGCTCAAGTGTTCAATATCTAGTGTAGCTATTTCTGTGTTGAAACCTTCTTGTATGTAGATAGCAACTCCTCCCTTAATGGCATTATCCCTACTATAAGCAGAAACCAGATTATAATTCAAAAGTCTCGTATTGACAATGTTACTTTTGTTTTGGCCATGTTCAGAAACAACTAAAATTTCAGGCTGGATGAGGTGAAGTAGATGGTTCATCCTCTCAATTTTATTGCTTATACGATCAACATTTTGATGGAATATTGTTAAACTATTTGCTGTGCTCTGTTTGACATTCTGTTTGAATTTATGAAAAATCTTGTGCATCCCTTTGTTCTTGTGGTAATACTACAACGGCATGGGACACAACGTGATCGGGAGAACTTGAGCTAATGGTTCCCTAGATCGACTTCCCTTCTTATATTTACTTTTTTTCACAAAAAAATTCATTGTCGTATATAACTTATGTAGTTTGTCTGAAATCTGGTACTAACCGTATCAATCGTTATTCGGGCGGTTTTGATGAGCATGGAGATTCACTGTCAGAAAAAACACAAGAAGATGAATCTTTGGACTGTAGTTTTCTTAAAGCCTTGATGTTAGTGAAGTTGGCTCTAAAATTCGCTTGATATATCACGTAGTTTAGTAATACAGTAGGATCATTATTTTTCTTATTAATATTAATGCCGCATTGAACAGCACTGTCCAAGATAGTTTGTCTTTTGGTGGGGTGCACTTTATCGCTGAACGTTGCTGTATAACGTTGCTGATCTATCTGAACGTTGCTGTTATGTCGCTGAACGTTGTATTGTTTGCAAATTCACATAATGCATTTATCGGTTCCACTTTGCATATTTGCAAAATTTTCCTTATTTTAAGCCACACACGTTTTTGTTTTGTTTTCACTGCTCTCCGAAAATTTCAGAATTGGTGTTAACATCACTGAGGTCAGTCAGCTATTCTAGGTTTGTGTAAGTGCAGTGACAAAAATGTAAGTTATTTAAATGGGTGATTTTTGACTGGCAACAAGCAACAACGTTTACCAATAAAGTTTGGTAAACAAAAGTTAATAAAACCACAGACAATAGACCATTACTTGGTATTTCTTTTGTCTACCTTGGCTTTGCTGATTGTTTCTCATTACTCTAGTGCTTATAATGAGGCAATAATACATAATAATAATGTCTCATAGCCCCTATGGGTCCTATGCTGTCACATGTTTGTCTTTTATGATATGGGGCTAAAGTGAAGTGAGACAGAGGTTGTATTTTTCCTGCTTTTATTTTATGACAAAACAATTTTTTTAACATCAAGAGGAAACCAAGGTTCATGTTACACTTTTAGCGAATTTCCCATATAGGGAATAAGCTATTACCGTAGTACTCATGGAAAGACCTGGACCCGGGACCGATTAATTTTTTTGTTTTGAGGTCCCTAGAGGCCAAAAACACCATCGGTTCAAATTCATATATATATATGTCCGTTAGCACGATAACTCAAGCAAAAATGATCCGATTTTGATGAAATTTGGTACAAATGTGTAAACCTACTTTTATTCGAAGGAGTTCACGAACCAGCATGATCGGACTATGGGAACGGGGCTTTTATGGAGTAAAAAAAGGTTTTTCCCATTTTTTACCCTTAAAACACAAAATTTTACAGTTTCTTTTCAAACCATTTTGTAGAGCATAAAAAAGAAATAATTTAGTATGCTGAAGCGTTTTTGTGCGCCTAATGGTTACGGAGAAAATTCCAAAAAACTAAATTTAAAATCCTCATGTTATTCTTATGGAGAATAAGTCAACTGTTGTAGTTTGCTTTTTTATGAACATATTTTGATCGAATTTGGAAAATACATTCATTTCTTACTAAACTATTAAACATAAAAAAACACCTTTTCACCTGTTGCAGCAAACCTAAGTACTCGTTAAACTAATTCTATTTAAATAGGGAATAAATATGATATTTTTAAGGAGGCATTTTAGTGTAAATCCTATCAGGCTAATGGAAATTCGCTTAGTCTGCAGGTTTGCTGCGGTGGGGTGTATTTTTGTAAAAAAGATCAAAAGTTTACATTTTTGTCTCATATTAGCCCCCAATGACTTTACACATCCGCCTATGCTTTTAGAAATAAAATTCTACTTTTATGGACTTTACAAGTGTTTATGGCTTTTAAATTTGGTACAGGTAAGTAGTGGATATGTCATTTTGGTTTTGATGAATTTTAAATCCTGCTGTTTGAGCCAAACTTATCAAATTTTAAATAACATTTTCACATAAATGATTTCCCTTATCTACAAATCAAATCAGCTTTCTACTAAAGCGCTGTTCATGGAGGAATTTTGAACTGAACTATGATGTCATCGATGCCTCATTCATACCTCCCGTAAGGTCTGACCCGTGTGTGGTTATACAAGGGTTATAGCGCCTCGTTTTCCTCTTCCAGGAACTGATAAAGAACCTTTTTAGAGAAGGAGCGGGGGTGTGACGTCACTCTTCTCTTGAGGGAACACCATTAACGTAACGACTAAAAGAGACCATGATTTCATCGGTGTTTGTGGCATAGTTTATAGCGTCTCGGACCAAGGCCCCACTAGAAAAACAGTTGTTTTTTCTAGTGGGGCCTTGCTCGGACTGGTAAGTAAGTAAGAAGTATCCAAGTAAGGTGATCTGGAGGTTTCCGGTTCGAATCCCGCCGGAGAGACACTAACTTTTTGTCCAAGATTTTGGTTAGAATGCGAATACTTGACTATGAATTTGAGGCATTTATAATTTTATTTATGAACATAACTATTTTTTAAAATTAGTAAACCTTCATTCAATTTTTATCTTATATTTTTTTTATATTATTGGCAAGTTTAGTTGGTTAGGTTATAGGTTATGACAGTTGAATTCTACAATTCAAATTTTTTAAATCAATTTTATGATTAAAAAGTTGATTTTCTTACTAAAAAATTATAAAATAAATTTAATGATGTTCTAAAATCGACGTGAGGGGCTCTCCCACAATCCCCCACTCCTTCGTAGAAAAGGTTCTCATCAGTTTCTGGAAGGGAAAATAAAACAGAGAGGCTAACGTGCTCGCTCACGCTCTACGCTTCCGGCTTCCATTCCATCCATCCTGCCGGCTTCCGCAAATCCGCATCCCCCGGCCCCGGCTCACAATCACACAGCAGCACAGCCAAGCCACACTCACTCACACTGACACTGAAAGACACTCCAAGTAAGTCAAGTCCAAACAAGCGAAGCACACTTCTAGCACATCGACACTCTCGTTCCAGGAATTCTTTCATTTCTTCTGTAAAGTTTGTTTAAATACGACAACGGACAAGTAGAAGAAGAGAGGTTTAACAACTAACTTCTACTTGCCACTTCAGAAGTGTAGTGGTAGCCTAGGCCTAGTATAAGTCAGAAGCAAGGTAAGAGACTAGAAAAACGGTATAGGCCTAGTTGTATCACTGTATCTACCTAACATAAGGCCTTAGCAGGAATGTCAATTTGTCAAATGGAAATGTAGGCTAATTCGTGAGATTTGATTCAATTCAAATTCAATTTCTCATGACAAGATCGATTGCATCACAGACAAAGGAAACAAAAAAACAACTTTTGTTTCCTTAGTCAATGATTGCATGTAATTACCTCAAGATCAATAAAAATGTCGTCTTATGATGTACTTAGCCTAGCCTCGTACCACCCTCCTACATACAAAAAATACCAGTCATAGGGAAAGGAAATTTGTGTCTAGGTAAGTTAGCCTAGTCAGCAGTGAGGGTATTTTGCTGTTCACAAATCAAACTAGGCTAGTAGAAATTGGCTCTTGCCGTTGATATGAAATAAATAACTTAATTAGGCGTACTTGTACAGTAAATGAATTAACAAAACAACCTTGGACTAGGTACCGGTACCTAACTTGGGCCTATAGGCTAACCTAGATTATCACATTCACAGAGGATACGCATCCAGTAAGTTAACCGGACGTGAATTAGGCATCCGGCAGTTAAGAACTGTCATAACCTAACCTAACCAACCAAACTTGCTGATAAGTTAGTGAAAAAATTGAATGAAGGTTTACTTAAATTCTGTTCATAAAATTATAAATGATAAAAATTCTAACAAAAGATATAAGTTACTACATACCTAAGTTAACTTAAGAAGAAATGGCATTCAAAGCAAAATCTTTGACACCGACGGGATTCTTGGGTATCAGCCGAGCACTAAGTTATCCACTACACCACGAACACTGATAACTGTAAATCGTATTGTTGTGGTAATGGCGTTCCGGGATCCCACAACCCGGTGACGTGACTGCTAGACGCTTAATCCACGTCCGGTTACTGGACGCGTATCCTCTGTGTATCACATTTCTCTAGTCTATTAAGCCTAATTGCTTAACCCTTTGAGTGCCAACGTCCGGGGAACCGGACGTTTTTAAAACGAGCCAAAAGTGCCGACGTCCGGCCGACCGGACGTTTTTAGAACGAGCCAAAAGTGCCAACGTCCGGCTGACCAGACGTTTCGTAATGATCGAACAGTTGTCATAACAACCGAATGGATACTCGGATTCTTTTAACCCATATATTAACATTGAGTCGAAAGTTACTAGATGCGATAAGTACATCGATTTTCGTTGGTCGAAATATCGAAAATTTGATTTTTACAAAATTTTAACCTAAAAATCGCCAGATCGCGCTCGGCATTTTTAGCGCGACCTTCGGGAAAAATCATCGGCATTTTTTGAGCGTTACTTTTATTTCTTGCCTGGCACTCTAAGGGTTAAGTAATTGATTTTACTTAGTTCTTGTTAAATGAACTTAAAGAAATGTAGTTCCTCGACTTCTTAAAACGTGTTCCATTATATTTTGCTTTGTGCCTAACCTAAGTTAATACCTTGGTAAAAGTTACTAATAACTTAAGTTAGTTAGGCACCTCCAAAAGAATTTTTAATTTTGATAGCCTATCTTACTTTATAGTTTTTTACCTCCTGAATCCAAATATAGGCCTACCTACCATTTTTTTTTTTCACAGTGAAAGGTTATTAACTAAGGATATCGCTGTTTAGCCTTCCATCGGGCGCATCACGGAAGGGCTTACCTCCGGCCCCGGGTCACTATATATTTGGTTATAAAAACCATAGGTTGCGTTTGCAGGGCTGCCGCCTGACTAACAAATGATTCATTTTTCAATCAGGCCTACACCATAGGGGTTTTATTTCACATACTAAGTTTATTGCATTTTTTCTAATAGCTTCGTCAAAATAAATTGTCCTTGTATGAAATGATTTTTTACATAAGACCAAAGGTTTTTCTATGTCACACACTGAGTTATTGCATTTTTTGTTGTTTATACAATAATTTAGTGCCGTACTGTATATGTAGGCTATAAAAAGTATGTTTTTTATTATCTACAGAACTTAACTTATGTACCCTATTTTTATTGTTTACTATAACAGTTTCTATTTTATAAACAACTTAAGTAATAGTTTTGTAATGGGAGGAGGAAGTGTTTGGCAATGTTGTGTGAGTAGGCTGGTAATGTTGTTGAACAATAACTTGTGCTGAACTACAGAAGGCTGTTGCTTTAAGTAGGCGGCCAGCGCACTTACTTGATCAGGGTGTCAATTTTGGTGGGTAGTGTTTGTGTGGTGCACCGGAAGACAGGGTCCTGCTGGGGGAGCTGGAGCCGAAGGCCTTTAGCCTTGGGTGCAGGTAAGGCAATGTTAAGGGTTTTCATATACTATTGAATAAGCCTAAGTTAGTAAAAAAATGCTGTGATTGTTTGCAGGATGTCGCTAGGCCCCGGTTCCGCGGCTAAGGCTAGTGGAATGGAAGTGGTTGTGGCAGGTGCAGAAGATGATCCAGATTTTATCACCTTTCTGTTTGATCCTGAAGAGCAGTACAACTGCTACTTCGTAGTGGGAAACCCTGAAGTTGGAGACACGGTAAACTAATAATCAGTGTTGGGGAAGCTACTTTTAAAATGTAGCTAGCTACAGCTACTGCTACATTTCCAAAAAAGTACAGTAGCTTAGCTACAGCTAAAGCTACAGTTCCGAAAAAGTAGCTAGCTACAACTACAGCTACAATGAAATGTAGCTACAGCTACAATTTTAGCTACTTTCCCAAAGACGTTACTTTTTATTCCACGCACATTAGGTAAATGTAAAATTAATTGCAACAACATTTTTATTGAACAAACACTTAAAATAAGAAATGTCAATATTGTATCTAACATTACTTGGGAAAAAAATTATTCCTAGATTTTATTTAACATGTTGGCATTATAAACCTAACATTACAACAACAGCAAATAGTTGGGTGTCCCATCATATTTAGTACTTATTTTTAAATATTGCATTATTTTTAAGCATCTTATATGTAAATTTCATTAAGTTCAAAGGACATACAACCAAACTATATTTTAAAAGCTCATTTTATTTCTTTAAAATAGATTCATTTATAGATGTCTTATATCAACAATTAAGACCACTAAAACTGTAAAACGATTATTTAAAAATACTTTTTTGTGTTACAGAGCCTAGCCTACTGAAATTGGAGTTTATTGCCTTTCTTTACTTTTAATGTTAAAAACGACATTGCTATAAATTTCAACCATAGTGATAAGTTACTTGTTCTATGAATAACACTTTTCAATGACAAGAAATCGTGCTTTATTGTCAATATGCATAGGGCAAATAGTGCTTCAACCTAGTTGGTACAGAAAACAGTATTCAGCAACTTATCCTGAAATCGGCTTTTAATTTAAACATGTTGAAATTTGTAAAGTAAAAATAACATGTAGGCCTACTTGGCTATGTAACAATTTGGCTATAGTAGGCTTAACAGATATATTCCTAATAATTGAACTTGGAACTTTGTATTCGTCTTAAACCATAGCATAGCCTAGGAATAGTCCTATACAAGAGCTGTTAGCAGGAGAAAACTATGCTATTTTTTCAATGTAAGTTTCATGTTATATGGAGATTTTTTCGTTACAATTATCATGTAGTCTAGGCATATCTTAAATCTCATCAGGTAATTTCCTCTTTGTTAATTTAGTTAACCTTTGAAAAATCTTTGTAATCTAACTAAGGAAGGGCTTGTGATGATGAACCACAATCAACAGCTGATCAAGCAAAGGTTGATAGACCAGATTTCTCATTATTTTAAGGTTTAGTGTTGGTTTCCATTCAAACCCAAGTTAAAACACTATCGATATAACAAAGAAACTAAATTGATTACTAATTTCCCTGTCAATCACTTGCAAGCATTCAATAGCTTGTCTTGTCACTGGTACCGGTAACGTTTAAACGTCGTCTGCATCTAGCGATTTTATTTTATCTGACAGTAATCATAGAGTAGTAAATTAAGGAAATGAGAGCTAAAAATGTGGATAACACTCATGTAATGGCCTCCATGTCCACACAATGTTGTAATAGGGAATGAAACGGCTGCAACCAGCTGTATGAAGCCAAGAAAGTAGGCCTAATTGTTTTGAAAATCTCAGTTTGAAAGATGTTGTTTCACGTAAGGTTGAGGTTATGGTAAAAATCACTATCTCAAACAATGTTAATGTAGCGAGAAAAGTAGCTAAAATTCCGCTACAACTACTTTAAAAATGTAGCTAGCTATAGCTAAAGCTACAAAATCTTAAAAGTAGCGACGCTACAGCTAACGCTACAAAAAAAGTAGCGCGCTACTGTAGCGTCGCTACTTGTAGCGCGCTAATTCCCAACACTGCTAATAATACAGTTAAAAAACATCTGTTTATAGGTTGCAGCCTACTTAGCTCTTGCTGAAAATATTTTAAAATTAGTAAATGGAATAAAATGAAAAATACTTTATTCCATCAAAAACACAAATATTTGTTACACGGAATTGAAGAAACAGATGGATGTGGGGAATGAGCTTCAACAGAACTCAAACATCTTATTTTATAGAAAATTTACTTAATAGGCCTAAGTAAAATTATAAAATTCACACACACACACACACACAATACACTTCAACTCAGTTGCACCAGGACATCAGGCGGCTGCTGGCTCTACAGTTCCATTAGTTAGCCGTCTTTGCTCTGTCCCTGCATGTCCTAGGAACCTTTCGCTCACTCACAGGCACGCACACGCACACAAACAACACAGCCTGACAGCCATACATCGTTGTATTTGACTGTGAGTGACGGCGTTAGAAGGAATACATGGATACAAAATAGCTGTCGATATGCCTGCGTCTGACTTCCACTAACCATTTGTTTAATTTTTTTTAATATTTTAGCAGACTGCACTATTATTCTAGCAGGCTCCGGATTTTTAAGCTGAGTGGGTAATTTAAAAAAATAACAGTTGCAATGTAGGCCTACTGAGGAGACCTTTTATTAATACTTCTTGTGATCTTAGGTAACTCTTTCCCCGTGTTCAAAGCAAATTTTGTAAGATAGTTGTGAGAAGTTTGTTTAAAGAGGGAATTTTTGTTTTTGAAAATGTATACAGGGTGTCCTTAAAAACCGTTTCACAGGACTTTGGAAAATGAAAAGGAAGAAAAAAGTTAATGTGAAAGGTACATCCAAAAATGCATATTTACCCAGTTATCCGCCATTTTTTTAGTAAAAATATTTTTATTTGTGAAGTTTTTCATTCAATGATTATGAAATTTGGTAAACATGTTAATATACACAAGACCTATTATAGAAAAAATAATAAAGTTGTTCCGATTGTAAATTTCAAAATGGTGGCCGTTTGAATTTTTATAACTTAAATAACTCAAAAACGGCTAATTCTATGAAAAAATGTCAAGAATATGTTTTTTAGCATTTGTCACGATTTTTTAGCACCTATCAAACGATACCAAGATCAAAAATATCGAATGACTAACAACTGAAATGGAACCTTTTCAGCTGTAGGACCAGATACAATTAAGGGTTCCCTTCCCAACTAACTTTGCCTTATTCTTACAAAAAAAAACGTTATATTTCAGTTGTCTTTTCTTTTCTCCCATCTTTTTGATCTTGGTATCTTATCTTATGACAGGGAATTGGAAATGATTATTCTTGACGTTTTTTCATAGAATTAGCCAGATTGAGTTATTTAAGTTATAAACATTCAAACGGCCTTTTGAAATTTACAATCGGAACAACTTTATCATTTTTTCTATAATAGGTCTTGTGTATGTTAACATGTTTACCAAATTTCATAATCATCGAATGAAAAACTTCACAGATAAGAATATTTTTTAATAAAGAACAAAATGGTGGATATCTGGGTAAATATGCATTTTCGGACATACCTTCACATTAACATTTTTCTTCCTTTTAGTATGAGGATTCATTTCCCAAAGTCCTGAAATGTTTTTTATGGACACCCTGTAAAATCAATGATCTTATATTAAAGCTGTGAAAGATTAAAAACTTTGAACTCGTCAAAGACATGTTCTGAGGGGTAGCGGTGAGGTGTCCGTAGAGCAATTTTTATTATGGCTTTTTGAATAATTTCGATAGGGGCCAGAATAGCCACCACCCCACGCTACGTTCCCAAATTGTAGAATAGACTGTATGTTTGCATGGTAAATGTTTTTTAGAAGAGTTAGGAAAAACAAAAATGAATTTACGTAGTTTACATCTAATTTGATTTATGTAATGAAACATAATGACACCAATATAAATCAATGACACCAAGCTCATTGATCAAATTTAGTAAAACTTAATTAATGTGGACTACAGTTCCATGTAGTCTATAATTGAGGAAGAAATGCAGTGCTATTTCAGAACTATTACGACAGTTTACTTAATCTCATTACCAAGTGATAGCTGGTCTTAGTCAGTAACAAAGCTACAAAAGGCATCACACTTCATTCTACACTCATCCTTCACTCACATTTAGGGCTAAAATACACACATAGGGGGTATCCCCATCTTAAAAGCAGTATCTGTGAGTTGCCAACTGAAAACTGACATGAATGCTTCAAATTCATCCATCAAAAACTTTGTTAGCACGGTTATTCAGAATCAATACTGTTCATCCTAAAACAGTTAACACCCACATGAAATATGTAGACAATAGTGACACTCTGACAATGTCAGTTCTTTTATCTTTGCAAGAATTTCAGTTATTTTTACTATCATCTCTGTTCTCTCCATTTCTGGAAAACTTTCTCTTCAGGCTATACTATTTTTCTAGATATTAGTAATTTTTGCCAAGATATTAATATTATTTAATATATATATATATATATATTTTTTTTTTGTCTTTTCCACAACAATCAAGTTAGAATACAGGCTTGATTTATTTTGCTATCCTTTCAGAGGAAACTTTTTTGTAATTTTTATAGTCTAGATAAGACTCCTGCGCTCACAGACGGATGTTTCTTTTCTTATCTTGGGTGTGAACCACTTGATAAGTAAAAATACCCCCGCCGCAGCAAACCTGCCGACTAAGCGAATTTCCATTGGTCGGAAGTGATATTCTATTAAATCTATTTAAATAACCTTAGGTTTAACGAGTACCTAGGTTTGCTGCTACAAGGAAACTAATAAAGTGTGTTTTTTTTTGTAAAATATTACTAGCTTAGTATAAAATAAATAAAATTGCCAAGTTTAATCAAAATATATTCATCAACAAGAAAACTACAGCACTTTACAATATTCTCCATAAGAATAACATGGGAAATTAAAATTTACAATTTTTTAAATTTTCTCCGTTACCAATTACCGTACAAAAACGGTTGTTTTTTATGCTCTTTAAAAAGGTCCATAGAGAAATTGGGAAATTTTGTGTTTTGAGGGTCAAAAATGAGAAAAACTCATTTTTACCCCATAAAACCCCCTGTAAAACACCATTCCCATGGTCCGATCATGCTGGTTCGCGAACTCATTCAAGTTTATCCCACCTTACATCTTTAAACCGAATGTCATCAAAATCGGACAAAAATTACTCAAGTTATCGTGTTCATGGACACATATATGTATAAACATTTGAACGAATGGTGTATTTGGCCTCTGGGGACATCAAAATGAAAAAGTAAATCGGTCCCGGGCCTAGGTCTTTCCATGCCACCTACGGTAATAGCTACTTCTTTATAGGGAAATTTGCTAAAAAACTGATCACTCATTTGTAAAAAAAGTTCTAATGATAAAAGCTACCATAAAAAATGTACTTTGAGAACTTTTAATCTTAATAGAGTTCAGATAAGAAAACTTCATAATACAGAAGTTTACAACAAGCGTAAATCATGAAAATTAGAATGATTTTTTTGTAAGAGTAACTTATTGCATTTGCCACTTAATATTTCAGCATATTTAGGGTTGCAATGCAATTTATAATTCTGATGGTTAGGATTAATTTAATCTATTCATTTCCTTCTAACTCGGCAGATCTGTATTTTGGTAACTCGGTTACTACATGTTTCCTACCAATTTCCCCGATTGAGAGGCAAGTAAGAGACATGTAGGCCTAGTCAGCAGAAATATAGACCAGGAATTGTACGAGAATTTTGTTGAACAAGAAATGGCAGTGAATTGTACTTTAATTTGGTATGGGCCGAGAGTTCATTCAATATCCTATCGCCGACCCTCCATTCATTGACTGCATTCAATTGGTTCTCTTTCAACTTAACAAAATTGTATTTACCGGTGAGGGGGTGACGAGTGTTACCGCAACTGCAAGAGACGATTACGGTATCCCTGAGGCTGCAAGATAAAGCAACGAGTGGTACCACGGAAACAATCACAGTATAGCTGAGACATAGTATCGGGGGAAAAATCTGCTTGCAGGCTGTAGGTTGGTGACTTTTGGTGTAGATAGACCCACAAACACCACATCTTACAAAATCCTTCATAAAAGTCAGTTACCCCTGTTGCAGCTAACCTGCAGCCTGAGGGAATGTCCATTGACCTGATTTAACTACACTTGAATATTTGCTTAAACATTTTACAGATTTTTTGTAAGCTTAAAAATAACATCATGTGTACTTATGTTTGCTCTTTGCTGCTTAACAAAACAAGCAGGGGATAAATAAATAGCCAATATTTATCTGGTGATAATTTGTTTTCCCATGAAAACTATTTATTCTTCATCATCAGTTAGTTATTGTTTGATTGCAGGAGAGGATCGGAGTGGTAAAAAAGATGCTTCTGGCCCACTCTGTGGTTTTCAGAGCAGAATTGCAAACCTCAAAGATAGCAGAAAAAAATGATGTTAAACTGCCTGATGTCTTCCCCCAAACTTTTAAAAACTTATTAAGGTAAGTTAAATCTCCCGGCCAATCAGAAAAGTGTTTGAATAGTTGTGAGATATTGTGGACATTTAAAATTACTTAAATCATTTGTTTTCAGATTTGTTTATGGCTACGATAACACTCAAAACTTGAGCTTTGATGAAGCAGACAACTTGTTGTACGTTGCAGACAAATATTGGATGTCCAAGTTAAAAAATAGACTTGCAATCCGTCTGATGTCTTTGTTGAACCTAACCAACATCTGCAGCCTGATGAATAACCCCGCTTGTTACACCGTTCTCGAGCTAAACTCAATGATTAATGAGGTAAGTTTGTACAAATTTGTATAGCTCCAGGATTGTGTTATATGACATGGCTATATAGGCTATACTTCATCATACATGATCCCTACCTCTCATGAATTGTCTGATGAGCAGTGGCGGATCCAATGGGGGGGACAAAGGGGGTGACCGCACCCCTCAGGCATATATAAACATTTTTTTAATGCATGTACAGTAGCCTATTGTCAAAATTTTGCCGAAATCGGCGATGATGATAATGATGTTCGGTTACTGCAGGGGTTTTACCGTGACTGCAGGAGTTGTTTTTGATTTTGCCGCAATCGTGGAAGATGATGATGTTAGTTACCGCGGGGGTTATTCAGGGTTTTGTCATGACCGCCGGAGACAATAAAGGTGTATATACGACCGCGATCAGCGAAGACGTTGATGACGTTTCCGTGACTGTGAGAGCAGGAGATGATTCGAATTTAGTCACGAACGTGGAAGGGAACGATAATGTCTATTCGACCGCTAGATGTTCATGATTTTACTGGGATTGCGGAAGACAATGATGGTGTTCCGTTACCGAAAGAGTTATTCAGGGTTTTGCTGTGACCGCGAATTGACGATGTGGGGGGGGCTTTGCCTCTAATCTCACCCACCCCTCTATCTATAGCTGAATCCGCCACTGCTGAGTTTATTGGTAAGTTCTGATCGTAAAATTTAATTTTCAAGCCAAACAAAATTTGTCATACCTACCTAGTAAATTATATTTAAATAATTAGAAAAAAATAATGATGTAATTTAAAAGTTCTGAGTTAACGTCTACATACTGGGTTAAAGTTTTTCAAGGCGATTGAAGAGAGTTGAGCATGTTTGAACATTTTAGCGAATTTTCCTATAGGGAAGTACGTAGTATAGGGGGCACGGAAAGACCTAGGCCAATTGCAAACTTAATTAACTCATTAAATCATTAAACTCAAATTAAATTTACCCATTAAATCCAATGTTATTTAAACAGGGATGAAACATGTCTTGTTTATGGAAATATTGTAGTAGGCTATATATGAAATCAGATAAATTGAAATTCACTTAGCAGGTTTGCTGCTGCAGGGTTATTATTCCTTTATACCCTACCTTATTTAAAAAAAGTGTGCATTAAATTTCAATTTGATTTTTTTAATATTCACTATGTATTGTTATAACATATATTTTACCAGTAATAACTTCCTAATGTTGTGCTGTAACCCCTAATCTTAAAGTCTATTCAACCTCTGTGCTATCCGAAATTCTATATCGAGGTAGTCTCGCTCGGTCCCTACAACCTCGGTTAGTCGGGAGTGAACTGTGTTTTTCGTCAAGTAAGTAAAGGTTACATAGTACAATAGGCTACTGAATTGCTATTTACCTCTAGCAAGGTTGAATTGAAATTATTGTTCTTCTATTCAGATACTCCAGGCGGAAACAGAAAAGGTTTTGGCTAGTCCTCAGTTTCCTGACTTGTCTCCCCTCGGCTTTCTAACAATCCTGCAACAGGAGGTGTGCAATGTACCTGAAATTGACCTCTGGACTTCTGCCATTGAATGGGCTACGCATAGAGGTAATCAGTGTTCTCACACACAATTTGATGCGTTTCTAAATATTTTTATAAAAAGATAGGGCATTTGCCAGGAATTATTAAGGAAATTGACAGGAAAGCAGGCTTACCTTTAAAAAAGTGATGTTTTAAAACATGATGTTTTATGTGTCTCTATGGACTTATTTAAAGGTAAGCCTGCTTTCCTGTCAATTTCCTTAATAAATATTTTTATAGTATTTCAATAACAATTCCTATTTCAATTTTTTAAATTGATAATTGTTTAATTTTGTCTCAAGATTTTATTTATGCTCTGCCACAGACAGGGAAACTCCTCATGATTTTCAAATTGACTAATACGTCTATATAACAATACACTAGTAAACCCATCACCCTTCATTTGTAACAAGCCTGACTCACACATTGTTAACCATGTCAGACAACACTCCTGCCTGAGCCAGGGCCGATTTACCAAATAGGCACGTAGGCTTGTGCCTAGGGTGCGAGATAATTCCATTTTTTAGGGGGCGCCAAAAAATTGGAAAATAAAAAAATGATGGTTGTATTTGCATGTGATTGCGGTAAACTTATGATAATTCCTTACAGCCGTATTAACATCAATAATCGTCTCCCGTGATTGCCGCAAAAAATTCTGACTATTTCCTGCCATCGTGTAGACATAATCGTCCACATTTTCATAACTTATAGGCAATATATGAACATATCCTGCGATCTTGAGGAGATTATAATGGTCTACCGCAAATGAGGCAAAAATCTGATTTTTTTCCCGCGGTCATGTAGACATTATCATCGTCTTGCACGATCGCCGTAAAATTCTGATTATCCATATTGGCTGTCAAGAAATCATCATATAAAAAAAAAATCATCATGAAATCATTATATCGTCTCCCAAGGTCGTGTGGACAATGGACATAGTAATCGTCTACTGCGATTGCAGAAAAATGTTAAACCATATCCTTGCAGACGTGTGGATATCATCATCATGAGTGTAAAATTTCTACAAGATTATTTCCCAATGAAGATATAAGAAGATGACCTGCAATTATGTTTGCTGTTAGCTGTACGGCGATCGCGGCAAAATTCTAATCATCCCTTGCAGGAGTGTGTAGACAATAGACATATTTTCGTCTCCCGTGGTCACAGAAACATCACTGTTGTCATGCACAATCGTGGTAATTTGAATATTCTAAGAATAAGAATAAGAATCGTTTATTGCCGTTAAACATGTACATGCAATGGGCAAAGTCACATTTTTAAAATATCTTAGCCTACTTAAAAATAAACAGATGTATAGGCCTAGACTTTAACACAGAATGGTAACATTGAATCGTTGAAAGTTATTTTCAAGAACTCGTTAACACTATACATGGGGTTTTCCACTAACCAATCTGACAAAACTCTCTCAAATTTACTATTACTAACTTCTTTTGCGCTATGAGGCAGTTTGTTAAACAAATTAATACTAAGAACATTGAAAGACTTGAGGGTTTTACTTAACCTACAATGTTGCCTATAAATATGATGATTAGATCTTGTGAAATGGTTGTGGATTTGGTTTGACAAAGTGAGGTTATCTAAATTCTTCTTAACATAACATAAACACACAAAAATATATACATTTATCACAGTTAAAATCTTGGCTTGTTTGAACAAGGGCCTACAGTGCTCATCAGGGTCTACATTAAATAAAATCCTCACAGCCTTTTTCTGGATCACTAAAACTTCACTTATTTTTTAACTATTGCCCCAGTACAAAATAGCATAGAGCAAAACACTATGAAAAAAAGCAAAATAACAAGATCTTAAGTAATGACTAGGTAGGCTAAATCTAAGGCGACGCAACATGTGAACAACTTTGGACAGCTTTGAACAAACCTTAGTAACATGCGTATCCCAAACTAACTTAGGATCAAGATGGACACCTAAAAGTTTAACGCTATTGTCATCATCTGCCTCTTTCGGTGCTCTTACGTCTAGAGAGAAAGTTATATTCTGTGTCTTATTCAAGTTAATGAGAAATTTGTTAGCTGCATACCATTCAGCTGCCTCTTTAAGAACTACTTCATTCATGGTGCAACAAAGGTCATTAAAATTTTTCTCGCTTCTAAAAAAGGTCGCATCATCAGCAAACATGACAGTACTAGCAGAGACATTATCAGGCAAGTCGTTAACCATAACCAAAAATAGGAATGGGCCCAGGACCGAGCCCTGCGGTATACCGTACTCAACCTGGGTAGTGACTGACATTGAACCCTTAACACTAACTTTATGTCGCCTATTTGTTAGATAGGATTCAAAAATTTTGATTTGAGGACCGACTACCCCATAATACTCAAGTTTTTTTCAATAGTATGTCCCGGTCAACGCAGTCGAAGGCCTTGCTCAGGTCACATAACGAAGCTCGAGTGGCTAAGCCTCGCTCAAAACCCTCAAATAGGGTTTTGTCAACTGTTATCTTAATATTTGTATATATTTATTATGTGTAAACTATTTATAATGCATGATTTGTACTGACATGTCAGATATTCATTGCTGATATTCAGCCTCTGTATTATGAATTTTTGTGATGAATACATTGATTTGATTTGATTTTGATTTGATCACATTACATACTTACAATTAACTAGTGGCTTGTAGGGGCAATAGCCCCTTTGGGTGAATAGGACCCCCCCTAATATTTTTGTAAGTAAATATACAGAGATATCCTTTTGGTGGTCTTACAATCTTAGCAGGAAGTTTCATTTTTTTATCTTAACACTTTTGAGTGTCCCCCAAAGAGGGGGATTTTGGGGGCAACTCAAAACTTTTAAATGTAAACCCTCTTCAAGTGACACCTCATTTTGAAGTGTTTACAAAAACTTAAAGAACTGTGAAAACCAGAGTTCACTATCTCTCTTCTGTCCATAATCGTAGCCAATATTACAACTAAAATATAGACTACTTCGTACTTTACTTAACATTTTATATTTATTCAGTGCTCTATACAGTATATCGCAAGCTACAATATAATGTGTGTACAATGACACGTGGTCGTGGTTACTGAAATAATACTGAAAGATTGTATCTGTCTATCTTTGTAGCTAACAATGATAAATAAACAAGAGCAGTCTATTCTTGTGATCAGAACGATAAGCACAGATGTGAGAGGAGATAACGATAATAGTAAACAAAAGAGTCACTTCATTGTGGATAGTAACCTCCGGATTGCCAAATAGTATTAAAAAGGTTTAAATACCTGCTATCAAGCAATCCGTTTAATTGCAGTCGCAACTTGTAGGTAACGGAATAAAATTCCACAAACATTTATTTTCAGTAATCTATAGGGATAGTTTTGCTTCAACATATTGTTTTCCAAAAATTTTCCAGAATATCAATTTTTTTATTAGCCTGCAAGTTATTAAGTTTAGTTGCCCCCTAAAGGCCTGCACCCCAATGCACTGCATTGGTTGCATTGGTGTTAGTTACGCCATGTGTTAAATCTAATGTGATCGAAATAGGTAAAATGACTTGTCTATGGAAAATTTTAGTAAAAATCCTATCATCCAAATTGAAATTTGCTCTGTCTTAAGGTTTGCTGCATCAGGGGTATTTTTGTTTGTTTTACCAATTGTTAGCACAATTTTATTAGGGTAGCTTTTACTCTTTTCATCAAAAGATCAATTTCAGTTTCAGGAGAGTCGAAAAATGGAGAAGTCTTGAGGGATGAGTTGAATGACCATCTTAAACACATTCGAATCTGTACATTGTCTGACAAAGATTTGATGGCTCAAGTGGTACCTTCAGGAGTCCTGACATATAATGAACTCAAGTTGATCGGTGACACTCGCAGAACTGAGAAAGTACAGCCTGACTTGACAACAATCTGCAACAAGATTGAAAAGAGGCAAGAACCGTTGTCGGAATTGATGGAACAAAGATTGAGCCTAAATACTGTATATGGTAACATTACTAATACGAAAATAACTATCAATACCAAAGGAGTCCCAATACAGTTGTGCTCAGTAAAGCTTTATAGCTCCAGTACAAATCAGCACCAATGCAACTGCACAATAACATTACAAAAGGGGACAGAACCACCTACTGAGATGAGATACCAAGGACTGATCGATGGAGCTTCCAACAGGGCCATTCCAATCATTCTTGATGACATGAGGAATGTGTGTTTGTCTCCAAATTCAACATATTTAGTCAAACTCTCATTTTGTTGTGGACATAGTCATTCCCATTACTATTGGTCAAAATCAATACAAAATGGGAAACACTTTGACATTGGATTTCAGCTCTATTCTGGATCCTACTATGTTACCCCCATAGAAACAATATGTTATAAAACAGCAAGAAAGAACAATGGTGATCTCTGAGGAGAACAATAAAATTATCTTGGCCTGTTTATCCTGATAATCCGTTTTGGTTGTTTCTTGGTAAAAAGATATGAGAGAATTTTTTTAAGACTTAATTTATCTGTCTGTTTCACACAAAAAATTGTTGAAAGATTTATGTACCTCTGTTACTATAAATTCTATTCTATGGCACTGTAAAATATTTTTTTATAAAACTGCAAATTGTACTCTGTAGTGGATAAGTAAATGAGGAACTAGTAAAACACAGCTTCCAACTGATGTAAATGTTAAATACATTTTGTTAATTCAGCTAGTAAAACTAACTTGTAAATTACTGCAAGCACCTGTTATTAAACATTACTATAAACTAACGTCTTGCCTAATTATAATAATATCCCCTTTATTTATTTTTATTATGTTCCTATAGCATTTGATGTTATTCTAGTACCAAAGAAACTAATTATTAATTTATTAACTAAGTATTCATTTTGAAGCAACTTAAGGCACATTTTATGGTACGCAAAACCAGGCTAAAACCATATTATGTATTAAATAGTTATTTTCCTAGTCACCTGACAAAGTGGGATTCCATGCAGGGATTATAGTACAGAAAGTTGCTAATTGCTGCACTAACTTACTTTTGTCACACTGTTTTTTTTTTTTTTTTTTTGCACGTCCAGTATTCCAACCAAACAACACAAAGCAGTGTGCTTTTATTAGGCACGTAATATGTGTACGCTTGAAATTAAGTTGACATTAGATACTATGACTACGATCACCTGTTACAGTGTTTTGCATTTTGTTTAACGATTGGATTTAACCCCAACCTAAAACGTGTTTAGTGTTTGAAAGACTAATTATTTCTATACTTTACAATAACTGATATACTTTACAATAACTGAAGGAAAAATATAATGTGTAGCACAAGTACAAATTGCCTTTGCTGCATCCGAGAAAAAAATGATATCGTCCTGTAATCCAGCTATTGGAATTATGGACATTTTTATATGCATGATCTGTGGATGCGATACTATTAAACATTTTAAGGATAGTCTGTAAAACAACACTATAAAGAAAATTTTTTACCGTGCATGGTTTGTATATTTTAAACACTCTTCACTATGTTTATAAAGATAAAACACTGAAGTGTTCCATTAATACAATACAAGGTGGAAAAATCTTATTGTAAAAAGTCATCATCGGCTAGAACTTTAAAAAATGAGCCTTTATATACTAAATCATCTATTATTATTATACTAGGGGTTGTCCAGTGGTCGAAAACTCAACCAAAAATATGTTATGTACAGACTTCTCAATTTTCACCCCATGCTGTAAATAAAACACGTGATTGGATTTTCCATTTCTTTTGATTTACTGTTCATATTTTGTTGTTATTTAGGTCACCAGCATGGGAATACTTAAGGCCCATGGTTATTATTTATAATTTTTAAATTCATTTTACGTGCTTATTTTTGAATCTATTTTAATTTCCGCACATCAACATGAAAATATCTTTTTAACGCAGTATGTGTGGATATTCCCCGTGATGCACATGAGCTGAGAAAAAAGTTTTATAGAAACATGCTTGTCTATTAATATAGATAGATATTTAATAGACCAACATGTATTTTGTGATCATTGTTTTTTGTTTTGAAGCTGCTACGCATTCAATCACCAAGTTTAAGGCAGTGGCGTCATTTCACCAAATCCTTGGGGGGGGGGCAAACACTCCACTATGCACAAATGCCACCCTGCCCCCCCCCCCCCCCCAAATGACGCCCCTGGAAGGTGTCGTTGGATAGGTTGTTGCACCTAGATTTTCCATCAAACGGAACATTTTTTAAATTTGATCAGGGCTCTGTCCCAGTGGCCTCAAAGTTCCTCTGTTATCCCTATGGAGAAAATATAAATGAACACATGAATACTTTGAAATTTACACCAACATTTTAAACAGCTGGTTAAATATTAAAATTGAAACGTGTGCTATAAGGATTAAGTACCTTCTTAAATCTGTGTTTAACCATAGATGGTTTTACCTTCTTCATATCGTTTAGTTTTGTGTAACAATTTCCTTCCTTTATTTTGTTTCATTCAATTAACTCTTACTTTTTTAACCCCCCCCCCATTTTTTAGTAATTTGTTTAGTAGCCTTTTACTTTGAATTCAAATTGTGTATGTGTGAAACTTTGAACTCCTAAAACTGTTATTTGAAGAAGCTATCTTTTCATAAGAAGAAACAATGGCCATAATCACATACTCTTCCAGAACTCCATGTGTGGTAACCTATAATAGTATCTAAATTAAAACCAAAAGTCCATAAATATAATTTTGTTTTATCAAAATTAAGTTCATTATCCCTTCATACAGTTCACTTTATTAGTAAAATACCCCCGCCGCAGCAAACCTGCCGACTAAGCGAATTTCCATTTGTCTTAATTGATTTTCAATTAAATATATTTTAATAACATTAGGTTTAACGAGTACCTAGGTTTGCTGCTACAAGGAAACTAATAAAGTGTGTTTTTTTGTAAAATACTGATAGATTAGTACAAAATAAATAAATTTGATCAAAATACAAAATATATCCATAAACAAGCAAACTACTACATTTGACAATATTCTCCATAAGAATAACATGGGAATTTTAAATTTACAATTTTTTTTATTTTCTCCGTTACTATTAACCGAACAAAAATACTTTTATATACTAAATTAATTGTTTTTTAAGCTCTTTAAAAAGGTCTAAAGAGAAATTGGGAAATTTTGTGTTTTGAGGGTCAAAAGTGAGAAAACCCCATTTTTACCCCGCAAAGCCCCGTTCCCATGGTCCGATCATGCTGGTTCGCGAACTCATTCAAGTTTATCCCGCTTTACACCTTTAAACCAAATTTCATCAAAATCGGACAAAAAATACTCAAGTTATCGCGTTCACGGACGTGTATATATATATATGTCACATATATGCATATATAAAAATTTGAACGAATGGTATTTTTGGCCTCTGGGGACATCAAAATGAAAAAGTAAATCGGTCCCGGGTCTAGGCCTTACCGTGCCACCTACGGTAATAGCTACTTCCCTATAGGGAAATTCGCTAAAAGCCTTTTTAGGAATACACCAAACTAATTGTGGTGTATTCAAGATCTTTCTTTTACTGAAACTAAACAACAGGACATTTTTATGAGAGGAGAATATAAATGTCAAAGGAACAGTTATTGTTTATCGAGTTCCATACATTGTAAGGGATAGCAACTACATTCTCCTCTGTGATTATTTAAGATAAGTGCTCTAAGAATCATACATTCTTGATATTAGTTTTGAGTTTTGAACATGTTTTCCATAATGGAAAAGAAAATTATTTTGATTATATCGAATAGGTAAGGATGGTCGGGTTTGGGCATTTGCCGTGATCACAGAAGATGACGTTTCCGTGACCGCGGGAGACGATGATCATAATGAAAACGATCACGATATTAAGGATTTATTTTGCAACTTTAATACTTTCTTATGAAATGGCGACCATACAATGTAGGTATTAAGCCAAGTATGAATGGAGATGAGTGTAGGATGAGTGGCGCGATCTTGTAGTCTTGTTAGTGACTAAGGCCGACATTCCTTAGACACAGCTGTCAATTAATAGCCCAAACAGCTAATGGCAACTAAGGGACCTACAGTTTATAGTGGAATCCGAACCACATTTTTTCCTTGGTATATACGAATTGGTCTAATTATCATGATAGTACTGCGGATAGTCGTAATACTCACTAGTGCGGACGTTAATCCACACCAGGGAGTATCCCATCCACAGTGCATACCTATAAATATCCACAATCCGTGACCTCCTAGTAGCTGGATTACAGGACGACGCACTGGCTCACTGAATTTTAGAAATTTCATGTAAAATGAAAATCATTTATTTACACATGCAAAGTTAGGGCCACATGGCCCTTTCTAAAGTTCGGCATTATGTTGAAAGGAAATATGTCAAGTGAGTGGCTAAACTACAAGACTCATCAACCAAAGTTGAAAGGGGATTAATTAACCTAGTGATGGAAAACAAGTTATTCAGATACCTGTAAGGTGGAAAGGGGAAAGGAAATCCACACTTTTGCCGTGGGCCTTAGTTTATGGCAAATATCAGAAATACTCAGTCCAGACAATGCAACTTTTAACTTTAGTGGTGCACTGCGTACAAGACTCATCAACCAAAGTTGAAAGGGGATTATACTGTTTATACGCCTTGCAAGAGTTGGACAACGAACCCCTTTTTGTAACGTGACACGTCCGCCACGAAAAGTATATGTAGATATTTTTATAGTGTTTAGTAAATATGTAAATAGAAATAACATGACGCAATCTATCCGACATGTCGGTCAACGATGTTGAAGACAAGTATTCAAGTATTAAACTGTTCTATGAAATGGTGACCATACAAAGTAGGTATTTTAAGCCAAGTATGAATGGAGATGAGTGGCGCGATCTTGTAGTCTTGTTAGTGACTAAGGATGAGTTAATAGCCCATACAGCTAACGGCAACTAAGGGACCTACAGTTTATAGTGGAATCCGAACCACATTTTTGCCTTGGTAATTACGAATTGGTCTAATTATCAGGATTAACCTCGTGCTGTAGAATTTCGCAGTGTATGGTACCCACTCTTAAGGATAATTGTCAAACATTGAAGATAGAAAAATGCTACCGTTATCGCGTAACATAATAAATTATTCAAAATACTACTCTCTGGAGGTTTTTTTGTTTGAAATCGCTACCGTATCGTCTGCAGTTGATCTGCCATCTGTCGACTGTCGTTGTCGATCTGGGGCCCTATTTTTGAAATGGTTGACTGTTGAGTTGAGTGTCGAGTCATAATCGTTTCGTATTTTTGAAACTATTGACAGTCGACTTATCCAACCAAAACTACTCACTACCTACTGAGCTGTTGAGTGGACGGTTGACTGCACTTTCTTCTTCCTCTTTCGGTAAAAAATTGCTCTTTTTGAGTCGACGCCATATTGTTATTGCTTTAATTAATTTATTAATTGCGATTAGAGGTTATGTATTTGTTGTCAATGTATTAGCACCCAATACTTTATGCGATTGTTTTCTGTAGAATAATTACATTTTAATTTTATTATTACTGTGTCAATACTAGACTATTTATTCAAGCGTTTTTTCCTTGTAGATGAGTGAACGAAGTGAACGAATCTATGTATCGTGTATAGCGGAGTCGGAGAAAAGTTGTCCGCTGGAGTATGTGTGTGTGTGTGTTCGCACCTAAAACTCAAGAACCGTTGCTCTTATAGCGTTCAAATTTTGCACAAATAGTTATGACACCAGTGTAAAGACACCATTAAAATTCTAGACGATTCCGC